CAGAGTTGAGTAGCTGCGACAGAGCCCGCCTGGCCCCCAAGGCCTGGGACACGGATTCCCGCTGGGCGGGGCCGCTCCGGGAGGGGTGGCAGTGGCAGCTGGGGTATGGGACGAGCTGGCCCCAGGGGCAGACAGCAGGGAGGGCCACGGTGAGGCCTCAGCCACAGGGCTGGGGGCTGGGCACCTGCCTCACCCAGGGCCCCGCACCAGCCCCACCCGCACTGGCTTGTCCCGGGTGACCCTCCCACAGACTCGGGCAGCCACGGGCAGCCACGGCCACAGCCGCAGCCCGAACACAGGAGAACGGGGAGGAGGAGGAGGTCTCCTCCAGGGAGGGGACATGCTCGGCCACCTGGGCCCTGTGGCAAGAAAGGGCTCAAAAGAGGCCTGGGGTGGGGGCTCCCCATGGCTCCTCCCCTTGTCAGGCCCCCATCCAGGCTCTGCCCTCACCCAGGCCCGGGCCCAGCTGAGCCCCCAGTCCCGGCACGGAGACGCCCATTTCCCGGGCCCAGACCCCGGTCCCTCACCACGGCCTCTCCACCCAGAACGGACCATCGCTCTCGGTTTCAGCCGGACCTCGCCACTGCTGCGCACAGACCGCACAAGCAGTTCGCCCCACGCCCTGCGGGACCCGGGCAGCTGAGTCCAGCCCCACGCCGGGGCCTGCTCCACACAGCGCTGCAAGCCGCTCCAGGCCGCCGGTTCATGGGTCGAGGCTAGAGCCAGACCCTGGCCCATCGGCCTCTGCTCTCCCACCCCCGCCCGCCCGGCCGGCTCCCGGGACTCCGGCGGCTGCTGCGCTCTCGGCGCCGCGTGGAAACGCTAATGCCCGGGAAATCCCGTTTCTTTTCATTATCGCCCCCCGAAGGAGCTGTTCCGGGCGTTCTTCCTCAACACCTCCCCGCGTGAAACTTTAATGCCGCAGATGTACAGTCTGTCTGAACTGTGTGCATCTGCGCTTTAGGGTAAAAAGAACAATTCTCTTCACCCCCAAAGAGCTGATTTCCACTCCCCTATGGAGAGCACGTGGGCATAATAAAATGTATTTTTAAAATCAATGTTGCCCGGCTGGTGTGGCTCAATGGTTGCACGTCGACCTATGAACCAGGAGGTCAGGGTTCGATTCCTGGTCCGGGCATAGGCCCGGTCTGCAGGCTCCATCCCCAGTTGGGGGCGGGCGTGCAGGAGGCAGCCGACCATGGTTCTCTCTCATCACTGATGTCTCTCTCTCCCCCTCTCCCTCCCCCTCTGAGTTCAACGAAAACCTATATATTGTTTTAATCTGCCTACAAGAGAAGGCTCCCTGTTGCCCTGGAATCAGCCCTCCTGTCTCCGCTCCCGGCCGCCCGGTGTCACAAACCCCGGCCTCGGGACCAAGGAGCCTCCTGCTCGCACTCGGGGACTCGCTGGCCACCTGAAGGCCACTCTTTCGGTCAACAGGCATCTGGCCAGCACCCGCCGCGGGTCCCTGCTGGCCCGGAAGCTCCTGGGCCCGGCCCACCCAGCCTCTCGCCAGGCAGCACAGGGCCTGACACTTACCCCTTCAAGAGAAGGATCAAGGAGCAAAGGGACCAAGGGACGCCAGGCCCTGCGGGACCCAGAGATGAAGACTCAGCTGGGAGGGAGGGAACAGACGACCCACGGGTGCTGGCGCCCCTCACTCGAAATCTATCCCGCAAGAGTATGGCTCCCAAGTGGTCAGGAAATTGAACCACAGTGGGGAAGGGCAGGGTTAGGGATAACAGCAGGCTCGCCAGCAGGATGGAAGCGAGGGAAATCGGAGGGGGCTTCCCGGAGGAGGGGGCCTCCAGACTAGCCCCTCTAGGAAGAACAGGCTCAGAGGAGGGCCAGCCTTCCAGCAAGGGCCACAGCACATGATGGACAGAAAAGGCACGGGGGCGGGGCAGGCTGGAGCATCCAGGACACGGGGATGGGACGCACTGTGCTGGAGGTGTGAGCGGTAGAAACACCCGGTGGCCCCTGTCTGCGCCGCGTCCCCACAGCCTGGCTGCCCAATCTGTTCTTCGGGAGGACACCCGCCAGAGTGGTGTGGGCACGAGGCGGGGTGGGTGGTGCCCTGAAGGCTCAGACGGCGGACCGAACGCCAGGGCTCTCTGCTGGCATCAGCAACCTCAGGACCACACACCCGAAGCCGCTCCGGCCGCTTGCGCTCCCTTCCTACCATCAGCAGATTGTGGCCAGACCTAATTAGTTTAATTAAAGCCAAGGTGGCTGCCAGGCATTTGGAATAAAAAAAAATAAAGCAGACCCTGCCAACCCCAGGAGGGCACGACAAAGAGGCAGCATGGGCCTCTGTGACAGCCTCCGCGGGCCTGGCCCTGTACACAGCAGGTGCTCAGTAAGTGCACGTTGCTATTAAGCTCCTTTAGGGCCAATAATCCAGCTGAGATCAACTCGGGGGGGGGGGGGGGTCACTCCAAAAGCTACCTTCTGAAAGATGATGTCACCACGGGAAGCGGCTTGGCCTTCTGAACAGAAGGGACGCCACAGAGGCCTTCGAGCAGGACTGCAGACTGGTGCCGGCGGCACAGCAGCCAGGTCCCCACGGGAAACAGGCACACGCTCCCCACCCACCCATCCCCTGGAAACAGACGAACGCCATGAACAACCCAAGAAACAGGCCGGGAACATCCGTCAGAAAGCCAGCAGGACGGCCGAGGGCAGCCTGGAAACCATCATTTGCTTAAACGGTCCTGGAAGGGAGACCTAAGTTCAAGTTCGTTTTGCCGCTGACCACCTGAGTGGCCTGGGGCAAGTCACTGGACCTCTCTGAGCTGTAGCTGCCTGTCTGTGAGACAGGGAGGGCACACCCTCGGGATCCGGCCCAGCCCGGCACAGGGCGCAGGACCCGTCAGAAAGGGCAGCTGAGGCTTTTCTCGTGGCCCCACCACGGTGGCCCAGAGGACAGCTTCTCCCCAGATGACCGAGAGCACAGAGGGGCCGCCAAGTGCCTGTCCCAGTCCCTGCACAGCCACCCGTGGTAAAAACGAGGTCTCTTTCGTTGTGAATACCCAGGCGGAGCCACATCTAACCCCCCGGCCCAAAACGCAGGTTCCCGGAGCACCTGCAGCCACCCCTGCGCCTGCAACAGCCGCGCGGAGACCGGTGTGACCAGCCCCGCGCTCTGAGGGCAGGTCGGGGAGGCCAGCCCTCATCGTCCTACGAGGGACCGTAGTCACAGTGTCCCGGTGACCGTCCTGAAATTGTGCCGCTGACTCAGCACTGCGCCGAGGACGTCTGTCCTCCCTCGCTGAACCCTCACAACATGGCTGTGAGGTGGCTACTAGTATGGCCCCATTATACAGATGGGGAAACTGAGGCCCCAAAGCCGGTCACCTACCTGGGAGGTGAGTGTCAGGTTTCAAGCAGAGCATGTGGCCACAAGACACACAGACACCCACCTGGTTCTCCTACCACCCAGCCCCCTTCACACCCCTTCACCCGGGCCGGGGCAGGGGGGTGCCCACCGACGGCTCCAGAGAGCCGGGAGGCCTCTGCACCTCCAGCACCCTCTCCCCATCCCGCCTGAACCCCAGCTGGGGAGGGGCAGCTCCAGGACCCAGTGCCCACCAGACCCAGGCCCTGCTATGTGGACCCACCCACCCACCCCACGCTGTGCCCTGTGCTCTGGTCACCCAGCCACTTAGGTGGAAACCCGCCAGGAGCAGCAAGCCTGGGCAGCCCTGCCATTAGCCAGGGGCAGGCCCTCCCACCCAGGGCCCTGCTCCGCCTCAGCAGCCCTCCTTCTCCTGTTTGGGGGGGGGGGGGGGGGGATCTGAGACCGCACTCTGTGCAGGGCCCAGGCCCAGGCCCAGGCCTCGGGCTGCGGGCACTGATGGTGCTAAGGCCGGTGCTGGCTCGGGGGACCCCTGAGGACCAGGCTGCAGGGCGGGCACCACAGGGGTCCCTCTGGGCGGCCCACTCCGTGGTCCTGGGTGGAGATGACGGACTGAGAGGGGCCAGGACCTCCCAGGGCTCCCTCAGAGGCCGCGCTCACCCTGCTCCCTGGAGGGGGAGGCTCCCCGTCTCCGTGGAGACACATTCGCAGCCAAAGGGCAGAGGCCACAGCCCAGCCTGGAAAAGCAGTGACTCACCCAGCCCCTTCCCGCTGTCACTTGTGAATGGCCCTTGTCCACTGGGTTCGCCCTGGGCCATGAGGAAGGGGCGACAGGGTAGGGTGGCCAGCCCAGGCTGGGGGCCCCTCAAAGCTGGGGTGGGGGCTCCAGGACCCCGGAAAGGCGGGGGAGAGCCTCCATTCCGCTGAAGTCTGAGCCAAGTTCCCTTCAAAGGGCCAAGAAAGGCAGCTCCTGCCGGCGGAGCAGACATTTTCCTACCAAACAGCCACCACGCGGGCCTCGCCACCACAAAGCCACCCCGAGGGCGCGCAGCGATGGCTCCAACGGGAGCGGCGCGGGGCTCCCTGCAGCCAAGTGGCGTGGGGGCCGGAGGCCGGCTCGGCCCACGGTGCTCCGGGAGGAGGCGGAGGCCGAGAGGGGGCGGCGCCCGGACCCGCCCGCTCCCTCCGCCCCGCGGGCTCCTCGCCCCGCGGCCCCCAGGCCGCGCCCCAGCCCCGCCGCGCCGGCCCGTCCTCCACCGCGTCCAGCCCGGTGCGGCGCCGGATCCCCGCGACGCCGGTCGAGGGCCCAGGCGCAGCGAGCTCCCGGGCCGGACGGGACCCTGGCCGGCCTCCGCCTCCGCCTCCGGGAGCGCGGGCGGCAGTGGAGGGCGCCCCGCCGGGTTGGAGTCTCTCCGCGCCCCCGGCAGTGCCCGCGGGGCGGAGGCGCGCCCTCAGCTGGAGGGACTTCGGCCAACTTCGCGCCTCCCGGAGTCGCCCCTCGGAGGAGCCGGCCCCGAGTCCCGGGGTGCGCCCCGCTCCCCAGCCCCCGAGCCCGGCCCCCGTCCGGGGACTGCCGGCGGCGGCGACCTCCGAGTGCGCGCCCGCGCGCCCGGGGCCCCGGCCCTCCCGCCCCGACCCTCACCTGGGACATCTGCGGTCGGAAGTTGATGTCCTTGAGGTCGATGGAGCCGGGGGACAGGTTGTGCAGCAGCTGGCACAGCAGCACCCCGTCCCGCAGCGCCTGCGCCAGGTCGAAAGCCACGGCCGAGGGCCACACCACGCGGTGGTTGGGCGGCAGGACCTTGCAGTCGATGAGCCAGCGGCCGCACTGCCGCCACTGCTCCATGGCGCCCCGGCCGCTCAGCGCCGCGCGCGGGCCCAAGTGCGGCGGCCGCGGGGCATCCCGCCCGGCCGCGCCGGGCTCGGCGGCCGGGGCGGGGCTTCGAGCGGGCGCCCCGGTCCCCGCGGCGCTCCCTCCGCTTCCTCCTCGGGCTCCGCGCGGGCCGCGGCTCCCGCCCACGTGCGGCCGCGGGGTGGGCTCCAGGCGGCGCGCCGGGTCCCCCGTTCACACACACGAGTCCCCGCGGGCCCCGGGCCGGGCTGCCCGCCGTCCGCCGCCGCAGCGCTCCGCAATCCGCCCCGCCGCGCGCCGCATTCTGCGCTCGGGGCGCCCCCGGCCGCCGCCGCGCCTGCCCCGCCCGAGACAAAGGCCCGGCGGGTCGCTCGCTCCGCGCGTCCCGGGCCTGGGCCGCCCTCGCCGCCGCCGCTTTGTTCCCGCCGCCTGCGGGCTCCGCGCTCCGCGACCCGCGCTCCGACTCCGAGGCGCAGCGGCTCTGGGCGCGGGGGGCGCGGGGGCGCGGGGGCGCGGGGGGGGGCGCGGCCACGGCCGGGCGGGGCGGGGGCGGGGCGCGGGCCTGGCCCCTCCCCCGACCGAGCGCCGCCCCCGCCCCCGCCACTTCCTGCCCCGCGGCCGCCCGCAAAAAGTTGCGGAGGGCGGGAGCGCGGGGCCGGCCGGCCGCCCGCCAGCGGCACCCGGACTTTGGGGAGCTCTGCGCCCGGGGCCCGCGGGCTCGCCGGTGGACCGGTGGCCGGCCGCTTCTCTGCTTTCGCCTCGTTCCGCCCCTGGAAACCTGCGGGGGCCCCGGCCGCGCTGGGCTGCTCCGCGCGGCCCTTCGGGAAGGACAGACGCTGAAGGGACCCCCTCGGCCCATCAGGCCGCCCCCGCGGGATGACTTGAGGCCGGCGGTGCGCGGACGCGGACGCACCCACAGCTCCGTTCCCATCCGCCCAGCGCGGGGACCGGCAGGAAGCCCCCCCTTCCGACCCCGCACAAAGGCTGGGATTCCCCTGCCTGATGACCCAGAGGCCAGCTCTGGCCACTCGCAGCTGCCCCGAGGGCAAGCCTGGGGTCCGGGCTGGAATACGTGAGATAAGTAATTGGCCTGGGGCCGCGCCCTGCCCTGCCCGCTGCGGGGTCCCCTGACCCTGCCCTGAACTCTTCCCTGGGCCGCGATGGGAAGGGGTGTGGGGGCGTGTCCCCCGCAGCTGGCCTCCTGCGGCTGTGGGAGGGGGGCTTGGGGACATAAAGAGCCCATCTGGCCATGAAGTGGATCTGACTCAGCTGTCAGGAGCCCTGGGCCCTCACCACTGATGGATGGGCCACCCCGGACAAGTCTGAGCCCCTCGCTGAGAGGCAGGTGTGGGGTGAACAATGTCCAGGGGCCCCCTGCCTTGGACACTTGTGGTTGGCCCTGCGCCTGTGTCCGCTCGGGCAGTCCTGGGCATCGCCAGGGCGGAGTGACACCCCCTCTTCATTTCCGACCAGAGAGGTCCCCTGGGCCCTCTGCTCTAGGACCTGCCCCTTCCCAGACTTAGAGGAAGCTTCGGGGCCGGAGGAGAGAGGTGGGGGGGCTGGCCTCTGAGGGCACACAGGGCCCCAGGAGGAGGAGGAGGAGGAGAAGGAGGAGAGTGGGGCCAGGGGCCGTGAGCTCCCCGCTCCTGTCCAGCGTCCCGCCTCGGAGGAAACGGGAGTGGCACCATGGTGGCCGCGCTCAGGAAGGAATCTGCCTCTGCGTGGAAGACGCCAGCCTTGACGGAGACAAAAGCAGACCATGTCACCGCAGCTCCGAAACATTGCAAAGCGGGGCACAGAGCCTGAACCCCAGCCCCTCCAGCCTCCGCCCCAAGAGCCAGCTCGACCATCCTCCCCTGGCAATGCCCGCTCCTCCCCTGCAGAAGGGAGAGCACCCACCCGGCCGGAAACCCTGGGAGAATGAATAGCACCGATTACCCACAGGCTTTGCACGGTGCTTGTGGCAGAACGCGGCTCCCCAGCCCCTCCCTCGGGTGCCCGCTCCATGGTGCCCCAGACATGCCTGTGTCTCTCTCCCACAGGTAGCCCCCCCAACAAGAAAGGGGCCTCTGTCCTCACTGCCCTTGGCCTTCCTGCCTGGGCAGAGGACCAACCTAAATGATGAGCCCCGGCGGCCGGGACACAGGCTTTGGCGCCCACAATGCGCACGGCCCTCTGCCGCCCCCTGGTGGCTCTGGAAGGCACTGTCGCCACCTGGCTGCCCCTACTGAGTGCCGCTGCCCGAGTCCGGAGACCGAGCCCTCCCACTGTGTGGTCCTGAGCCAATCACAACACTTCCCGGAGTCCCAGTTTTGGGTGGGGTTTTTTTTAAATATATTTTTATTTTTAAAATATATTTTCATTGATTACAGAGAGAAGGGAGAGGGAGAGGCAGAAACGCCAATGATGAGAGAGAATCATGGATCGGCTGCCTCCTGCAGGCTCCCTACTGGGGATCGAGCCCACAGCCCGGACATGTGCCCTGACCGGGAATTAAACAGTGACCTCCTGGTTCATAGGTCGATGCTCAACCACTGGGCCACACCGGCCGGGCGGCTGACCCAAGGGCTCTGGCTGTGATGCCCGCAGCGTAGGCTCTCGGGGGTCAGAACGCAGAACCCAGAGAACTCCGCAGCCCGCCTTGCCCAGAGCTGTCGGTACTGCCCTTGGCCTAGGCGGGAGATAGCCCATCCTGGGGCCCTTCCCGGAGCAAAAGGTGGGCACAGCCGAGGGGAGGTGCCTGCTGGCCCTGCTGCCCGGCCGGACCCAGCGCCAGTGGCCTGAATCCTGGGACATGCCCATCACCCTGCAATATACCCACACCCCTAGCTGTCACCCCCAACACCCTGCCCACCGGGCTCCTGTCTGTCTCCGTGGAGCTGCCTGTTCTGGACGTTTCTATAAATGGATCAAATGCCATGTGGCCTTGTGTCTGGCTCTTCTCACTCATGTTGTCCAGTATCCACAAGGACTTTATTCCTGTTGTGGCTCATGGTGAGTGGGATCCATCCTAGTGACACATTTTATTCAATCCAGTGTATCTGAAATAGTGTCGTCTCAACGTGCCGTCAGCCTGGAAACTTACTGACGAGATAGTTTATGTTCCACTTTTCAGGTTAAAGTCTCCAAAACCCACTGTGTATTTTACACTCCCGGCACATGTCACCAGACACATGGATGTGTACTCAGGTGTCACAAAATGTATCGTTGAAGAAGTAGACCCAAATATATGTACAAGTTTGACCAACCTTAAACTGAGTATCACATTTTAAGTTAATTAAAAATAAGTGCAATTAAAAATTCCGTAGCCTCACGTGGCTCAGTGGCTGCTGCCACACTGCGGGGCAAGGGGCTGTCCCCCAGCCGTCTCTGTGTTGTTTTTATTACTGACTAGCAGCTCTGTGCACGAATCTGTGCACTCATAGCTCGCTGCCCCGCCCTCCTGTAGCTCTCCGTGGCTTGTAGATTGGTCGTGACGTGACGTTATGGCGTCCTGGGTAATTTGCATATTCCTCTATTATTATATTAGATTTCTAGAGAGAGAGGAAGGGAGAGGGAGAGAGAGATAGAAATGTGATGAAAGAGAAACATCATTGACCAGCTGCCTCTTACACGCCACCCAACTGGAGATTGAGCCTGAAACCCAGACATGAGCCCTGACGGGGAATGGAACCATGACCTCTTGGTTCATGGGTCGACACTCAACCACTGAGCCACACCGGCTGGGTCGTCTTCTGTGTTCTGGCCTGTGAAGTGGGTCAGGGTCCCATAGGCTCATCGAGGAAAGCAAGGACCGTACGATGGAGAGTTTTCTCCCCCATCGTCTCAGAGTCGGGCGCATCACACCTGTCCCCAGGAGACGAGGAACAGACGCTCTGGTGTGAGTCTGCGCACTGAGGAGGGCGGTGTCACACTCCCCCACGGCGTGGCCACGGCCTTCGGGTCTCTTCCCCACGTGACCCCTGCAGCCCCCTTGCCCCCAAGGGAGTGACCTTTCTAACCCACAGAGCTGATCATGCTCCCTGTGTCCCCACAAAATCTGTGCATCCGTGTACAGGGCAGCGCCATTCACATGAGCCAGAAGGTGGCCACAACCCGTGTCCATCGACGGCGAACGGCCCGAGCGTGGTCCATGCAGAGCCTGAGGATGCAGCTCTGACACGCGACGCCATGCACTTCCAATCATCGCGCTGAGCGCCAGGAGCCAGGCGCGGAGGACGGATCTCACGCGACTCCGTTTCCATGAAGTGTCCGGCATCAGGACATCGACGGGCAGGAAGCACGGTGGTGCGGTGGCTGGGGGGAGGGGGTGGGGAGAGGGTGTTTAGTGGGGGTCAGGGCTCCGTGTGGGAAGATGAGAGTCCTGGAGAGGATGGTGGCGGCGGCTGCACAGCCGTGTGAATGCACCTCTGCCATGGAGCCGTGCCCTCGAAAGCACTGACGATGGCCCTGGCCAGTGAGGCTCCGTGCATAGAGTGTCCGCCCGCAGAACGAAGGGTCCCGGGTTCGATGCCACTCAAGGGCACGAATCTCGGTTGCAGGCTCGATCCCCCCCGGCCACAGTCGGAGCACGTGAAGGAGGCAACCAACTGCTGTTCCCTCTCACATCGATATTTCCCTCTCCCTCTTCCTCTCTCGCTAAAATATCAATGGAAATATCCTCGGGTGAGGACGGACAAAAGGTTAAAAACGGTGAAGACGGTCAGTGTTGTGGTATGAGCATCTCCCCAGACACGCCGTGCTTCCAGCTTCCCACCCCCACTCCAACATGTGTGCCGGACGGCCCGGGAGGCGGCCCCTGGCATGCTCTCGGGACTGCTGGCCTCAGTGCCGCGGTAAGTGGGGTGCTGAGAGGCCCTGGCGCGGGGGGGTGGGGGGCGGGGGGGCTGCCCCGGTGGGACAGGAGGGGTGCCTGCGGGAGGTGGCCTGGGCCGCAGGGTCTCAGACGCTTGAATGGTGGGAGTCACTGTTGGGACCACGGACCACACTCTCAGACCCTGTTTCCAACAAACTCAACAATGACATTCATCAGATAATCAGGAGGCTAGGAGCACGGGCCAGAGATGTGCCACTAATGAATGCCTGTTCCTTTAAGCTGGGGGTGGGGTCATGTGGCTGTGGCTACGTATGAAAACACCAACGTGTTTACAGGTGAAATAATATGATGTCTGGCGTCAGCTGCTATCTATGTTCTCACAACCTATCATTTGCTTCTTATTTTGAAATCGGTTTTTGTGTGTGAAACATGACATACAGGAAGATGCATACAACGTTCGTGTACATGCCCTAGCGGGTGTGGCTCAGTGGATAGAGCGTCGGCCTGCATGCGGACTGAAGGGTCCCAGGTTCAATTCCAGCCAAGGGCACAGGCCCGGGTTGTGGGCTCCATCCCCAGTGGGGGGCGTGCAGCTGATCCATGATTCTCTCTCATCATTGATGTTTCTATCTCTCTCTCCCTCTCCCTTCCTCTTTGACATCAAAAAAAAAATCTCATTTTAAACACACACACATTAATGTACAGCTTAGTGCAGGGTCACAGAGTAAGAACCCACATAATCAGCACCAAGTCAAGAATCAGACTTTGACGAGACCCAGAAATCCTCAGCGAGCCTTTTCCGAGGCATACCCCCTTCATTCCCCCAAAACTCACCGGTACGCTGACGTCTGTGGCCCTCGCTTCCTTCTGCAGCTACCACCTGCGCGCACCCATCATGCTACCCGTAGGATCGCCTCTTTTTGAATTTTATGTAAACCAACAGGTGGGCCGGCTCTCGTTCCATCCGTACGATGCTCCGTTTCTGGGGCGCATGTGTGGGTGTTTGCTGCTGTTCACTCGCCGTCACTGCCCCCGGCACAGTATTCCTGACGCTGCCCCGTTCATTTCCCGGTCCAACGGCGGACGCTGGGGAGTCGCGGGTTGACGTTGTGAGGCCTGCGTGCCGCCTTGCACAACCTCGGCCGTGTGTGTGTGTGTGTGTGTGTGTGTGTGTCTGTGTGTGTGTGTGTGTGTGTGTGTGTGTGTGTGTGTACGCAGCTCTCCTGGATGTGTCCCTGGGCGTGGAAGTGCTCGATCCAGGATATGGGAGCCCTCAGCCTTAGAGGAAAAGGACACGTTTAGTGGAAATGACGTGTTTTATGGACTAGTTTTCTTTCCTGTGGCCTGTGTATGTGCTGCTGTTTTCCAAAGTGGTTCCGCCGATGGCCTTGGGCAGCGGAAGGCAGTGACCAGCCCCCACACTCTTGCCATCACTGGCACTTGGTCTGGGCAATGTTTTTGCGTTGAGACTTCCTCGTGGATGTGAGTGGTTTCGCACTGTTTTAATGTGGATTTTCCTGATTACCTTTTTAAAACTATCGGTTTGTCTCTTTTTCTTATTAAGTAGCAGAAACATTTGTATGTCTGTCGGGAGACCTGCCCATCTATAAATGAGCGAGCCAGCCCCAAACCAACCTTCGTGAACTGGGCTGCTGATGCGGGGCTGCTGATGCGGGGTTCCTAGACACCTCCCCACCCCCAGGTTCTGCCTGCAGGGGCCCTACAGGGGCTTATAACAGCTTCTGTTTTAAGTTTCCTTTAAATTTTTTAAAGATATATTTTTATTGATTTCAGAGAGGAAGGGAGAGAGAGAGAAATATCAATGATGAGAGAGAATCATGAATCGGCTGCCACCTACAAGCCCCACACTGGGATGGAGCCTGCTGCCAGGGCATGTGCCCTGACTGGGAATCGGACTGTGACCTCCTGGTTCATAGGTGGAGGCTCAACCACTGAGCCATGCCTGCTGGCTTCTAATTACCTTTTTGTTGTTTTATGGACTAGTTTTATTTCCTGTGACCTATTTGTGTACGATTTACATGCTTAGAAATGTGTTGAGACTGGTGCACGGCCTGGCACGTGGCCGGCTTTTGTCCATGTTCTGTGTCCTTGTGAAGAATGAATCCCACAGCTGCGGGCTCAGTGCTCCGTGGACGTCCTTCGCGTCATTTCCTAATGAGCACCGGCGGGAAGCGTTTCAACGGAACTTCAGTCCGAGAAGGACAGAACCGCCCAAGAGTGTCACTGGAGCAGGCCTGGAGGTGGGTGGGTGGGGACCTATTTCTGACAGCCCAGGACGGCACTAAATTATTTAAAAACAATTGCATCGGTTAACAGGAGTGAGAATGCCAATAGCTCAAGTACACAAGCAGCTGCACAAACGTACCGTCAATAGAATGCTAGGACCAACAACGAGGTGGGAGGACCGGGATAGGCGCACCGCTCTCCAACCCCTCCTCCAGCGGCAGGCCCCGCCCACGAGGCCCGACTCCGCCCACCGCTCTCCAACCCCCTCCTCCAGCGGCAGGCCCCGCCCACAAGACCCGACTCCGCCCACCGCTCTCCAACCCCCTCCTCCAGCGACAGGCTCCGCCCACGAGACCCGACTCCGCCCACCGCTCTCCAACCCCCTCCTCCAGCGACAGGCCCCGCCCACGAGGCCCGCGCTCCGGCCCCGCCCCCGCTCCGCGGGTAGATCGATGGCTCCGGCTCATCGCGCGGGCCTGCCCGCCCTCGGCGCTCGGCTCGGCATGCCTGCGGTGCTGCCATGGAGACGCGGCCCTGCGGCCCACTGGCACAGCCTGGGTCTGCGCCTCGCCCCGGCCCGGGCGTCGCGAAGGCCCCACGGCGCGGGTGACAGAACGCGGGCGGGCAGCCGGGGAAGGGGACCCAGGATGCGGGGAGGCGATGGGGACGTGCCGGGAGGAGGTCCGGGGCGCAGGCAGGGCGAGGGGGACCCAGGATGCGGGGAGGCGATGGGGACGTGCCGTGAGGGGACCCGGGGCGCAGGCAGCGCGAGGGGGACCCAGGATGCTGGGGGTGGGATGGGGATGTGCCATTGGAATCTGGTGCGTAGCCTGGACCAGGGGGACCCAGGATGCAGGATGGGGATGTGCCATGGGGGGTCCGGGGCGCAGGCAGGGGGAGAGAGGGGACTCAGCAGCAGCCCATGTGAGCAGGGCCTGGGCGATTGGGGGGGCGGGGGCCGGGCCATACAGAAGGAGAAATGAACGTGCATGGCTGGGCAAGCACCTGAGGGGCTGGGGGGGAGGGCGCTTCCCGGTCTGGGTTCCCGCTGACATCAGGTTTCTTTCCAGGGGCCTCCGGATGCCTGGAGCAGAAAGAAGGCGCTGGTGCTGGGCGAGTGCCAGGCGGCCCTCAGCCTGCAGCCCAGGTAACCGCACCCCCACCCCCCCCAGGTCGGGCTGGCCTGGGGCAGGCCCGGGGTCCTGCGCTTTTTTGGGGTCTTAGACTTGCTTCACTGACATAGTCGCGAGCGCTCCAGTAAGCAGTTTGCCAGGACACCCCACCCCTTAGCTAGTTAGAGGACGAGGGTTAGGTATTCCCAGGGCGACTGAAGTGGGGGACCACGTGGGCAGCTGGGTTTAACGCTGACCCAGGGTTCAGATTCTGGGTCATAAACCCTGCCACGGCCCCCCGCTCCCCAGGCCTGACAGTGTGCTCATCTCTTGCAGGACCACCTGGGGGAAGCACCGCAGACCAGCCTGACAAGGAGCACTGAGCGAAGCTGGCCCCACACCTGGAGGCGCCCGGGTCCTCCCAATGCGCTGAGCCCCCCAGGCTCCCGTGGGGGCAGGCGGCCATGGGCGCCGCCATGGACTTCTGTCTAGCGGCACAGTGCCCTTCCAGTGGGTTCCTCTTTTCAAGTTAAGCGGCCCCAGCCCTGGTGTCAGAATCACAGCAGACACTTGACAATCCCCCCCGACGCCCCCCGAGGTAGGCGCCTCGTCCTGGTCAACAGCGCACACAGCTGTCACCCGGGAGACACGCTTACCCACTTGTCGTCTCCCGGAAGGTTCTGAGGTGTCTTCAGAATGCTCAGCGGCTCCTCTCCTGTGTCCCCGCGACACCACCCTCGCAAGGGTGCCGCCCAGCAGCTGCCGGGACCCTCATCTCAACCATCGAATTAAACAAGGGGCCAGCGCGCAGACGCGGCTGCTGGAAAGGGTGTGCATCAGAGCGGCCAGTGCAGCCGTGAGGATCGGCCCCAGGCCACAGCTCGGGAGCCAACACGGGGTGGGGGGGGGGGGGCTGGCCCGGGATGAGCGGCCGAGTCCCGCTGGCGGAGAAAGCCCTGTCCGAAGGCCACGCCCGGCGGCGGTACCGGGACACCTCCCTGCTCATCTGGCAGCAGCAGCAGCGGAAGCTGGAATCGGTGCCGCCCGGGACCTACCTGAGCAGGAGCCGCAGCATGTGGTACTCACAGTACGGGAATGAGGCCATCTTGGTCCGAGACCGAAGCAAGCTGGGGGTCTCCCGGGACACGGGCCAGTCCAGGTTTTGCTCAGTGATGTGACTCCCCGTGAGGACCGGGCCCAGGGCCCGCATGAGCACGCCGCGTGCGGGCAGCTGCCTGTGGGTTCCCAGGCCTCGTGGGGAGGCTGAGTGGTGAACGCGAGGGCCCAGCTACGGTGCAAGAACCTGTGACCCCGGGTTCCGAGCCGCTGGGCACAGTGCCGGGGCGGCTGGCCTCCAGCTGTCCAGGTGCCGCGGGCACAGCAGGCCCGGGCACCCCGCTAGGTGTGCTTTTCATGTTAGAGAAACCAACCGAGAGGGCACCCTGCTTACCAACCACCTTTCCAGGCGTGGGGCCTATGTTTTCACTTTAATTACCGTTGACATTCAGTGTTATATTAGCTTCGGGTAGTAGGTTACTTTTCAAAAATATGTTTTTATTGATTTCAGAGAGGGAGGGAAAGATGGAACATCAATAATGAGAGAGAATCACTGATCGGCTGCCTCCTGCACGTCCGCCACTGGGGATCAGGCTCACCACCCGGGCCTGTGCCCTGACCAGGAATCGAACCGCGACCGCCTGGTTCATAGGTCGGCGCTCAGCCACGGAGCCAGGCCGGCCGGCGGTAGTAGGTTACTTTAATGTCCGCTTCTGCCTGGGGAAGAGTGATCTAGGAAAGGGTGAGGAGCAGGCATCACCTGGTGGGAAATCTACCTGCAGGACCCGGATGTAACGCACAGGCCGACAGCAGCTGCGTTTTGAATCTAGTCACCGAAATGGTCGGTACGACGCACTCGCTTCCGAACACCCGAGGACTGCAGGCCAGGGCATCCCGTGCACAGTGCGGACACCAAAAGCCCCTTCCCGTTCCCACCGGTTCCTGACGGGCGGGGCCGGAAGAGGCAGGTTCTGGACGGACAGCGGACAGCGTCTGAGCCGGCCGAGGCTGCCGCCCCCCCCACCCCCCCGCCGTCTGCAGCGCCTGCTGTCCCCGCTGTCCCGCAGCTGCTGTCATCATGTCCGCGTGGCCGTGCGCACAGGGAAGAGTCTCCGGCGAAGGGACTGTCCTTTTCTAAATAAATACTCGTGAGGGCTCTCCTCTCGCTCCTGTTTTTATGTTGGTTCGTAATGTGTTCCTTGGCTTTCTTTTTTTTTTTTTTTTTAAATATATTTTATTGATTTTTTACAGAGAGGAAGGGAGAGAGATAGAGAGTTAGAAACATCGATGAGAGAGAAACATCGATCAGCTGCCTCCTGCACATCCTCCACTGGGGATGTGCCCGCAACCCAGGTACATGCCCTTGACCGGAATCGAACCTGGGACCCTTCAGTCCTCAAGCCGACGCTCTATCCACTGAGCCAAACCGGTTTCGGCGTTCCTTGGCTTTCTGTTCTTAGTGGCTAACGATTGCTAACCCCCAGCACAGAAACCTGAAGGCGAAGCCACAGCACCTACCCCCCGCCCTCCACCCCCAGAGACGCACAGGTGCCGTCCCGCGGTCACGCCGTCCCGCGGTCACGCCGTCCCGCGGTCACCTCCAGGCAGCAGCCCGCCCCGTGCGCCCCGTTTTGGATTTCCTTCTTGCTCAGCTGCACAGACGGGTGTTTACATGGTGCTCCGGATGGGCAGCGCGGGGGAGCTCCCTGGGGCGGGCAGCGACTTGCTGTCACCGTGCACACCGCATGCCCTGCGCCTACCGGGGTGAGCTGGTTGGCCGACACCGAAGCGCCGCGGTGGGGTCACACCGCTTCCCCAGACGCTCCCGTCCAGCCCAGGCCTGGTCCCTGCTGACGGTTCTCGGCCACCTGCTGCCTCAGGCAGCGCTGGAGCTGGAGGGAAGCCTGTCCCTCCTGCACCCCTGGCAGAGGCGCAGTCCTGCTCGGGCACCCGGAGTGCCTGCGCCCACAGCCCGAAGACTGGGTGGTGGCAGGGTTGGCCCGGGCATGGAGGCAGCACCTGGGGGCCCGCTGGCCATGGCGGGTCTGCACGGGTCGGTGTGCAGGTGACCGTGCACTGGGGCACGCGGGCACAGCTGCCGGCCTGAGGGGAGCCGGGGACACGGCCACCCGTCCTCGGGGAGGGGCTGGAGGAGAGGGGCTCCGTCTGGACAGGTGAGTGTGGGTGGGAATGGGCAAGGCACCTGCCAGCACAGCCTGGGAGGGGGATGGAGGGGGATGTCACGGGGCGGGCCTTGGGCCAAGAACCTTTTCCTGGGTTGGCCAGGTTGGCCAAGTGGTGTCAGGACGCCTCCTCCATTCCCCACTGAGCCGGGTGGGGGGAGGGGGGGGCCCTCGGTGCATGAACCCATCTGGTCTGGCGTGGTTTCAGGGGACTGTCTGCTGGGCCTGCACCTGAAGTCCTGGGAACCTCAGGAACCCCGAGTGCAGACAGAGGCGCAGGAGCGAGGACTGGAAGGTGGGGGAACCCGCACTCTAGGGGGCGGGCGTTCCAGGGGCCCCTGAACGGGGTGCCTCGCTGCAGGCTGAGGGACGGAGTTAGGGGCGCAGCTTTGGGTGTTCCCACCAAGAGCTCCAGGCCGGGGCGCGCTGGGGGGAGTGCTCCCGCCCCGACCACCCCCACCGTCCAGAGAGCGGAGCCACCAGCCACACAGGAAACGGCACACGCGGCACCTCCTTTTTTATTTTTATTTTTTTTGCTTTTATTATGAAAACAAAACAAATGCCCCAGGAGAAGGGTCCATGATTACCAGAAACATCGGAGCACTTGCTACCATTTTATTCTGTGTGTGGAGGCCAGCACTGCAGCAAACAAGCTAAAACTACGTACAATGGACTCGTTTTCAGTAACTGACATTTACAGGAATATACTAGAAACGGCACTAAAAAGTTTAAGAAAAGTTACGGTAAACTCGCATGCACATCATACAGAAAAGCAACGTTTTAAATATAAAAAGGAAAACGTCGGGAAGCGTCACGCGGGGCTGCTTTCCCCAAACGACTGTGAAAGACGTGAATCCGCAAAAGAACAAACCCAAACGCAAAGGCGACGTATCTTACAGTGTGTGGCGAGCGAGGCGACATCCTGCCCCAGGACGCGTGCAGCCTGCCCTTGGCCCTCGAGGTCAGTCACGAGGGTGTTTGCAAAGCCATTCCCTCCGCGTGGCCAACCAGCTTAACACGCGGGTCCTTCCCCTTAGACAGACTCAGGCCACGCACGCAGGCCCCCCCCCCCCCAAAACCGCAGCCTCCCCAGCACAGAGGGACGTGACCAACACCCGCAGGTGAGCTGAGGCTGGAGGGGCCCGGACGGGAGACAGCGCTGTGCGGTCTGGACAGAGAGCCGGAGGGACTGCAGCACCGACGAGCCACGCGCCTCAGCAGGCACAGCGCCTGGGGAGGCCTGAGAACCCGCTGTCTCGCCCAGAGGGCTCCTTCCGCGCTCAACTCCGGGGCCAGGCGCTTCTCCCGCTAGCGGCTCCCACGGGTGACCCTTCGCTCCCACCCCCGTGTGGGGCTGGCGCTCCACGGGAGCCCCCAGGCATCACGTGAGACCCTGCTCGCCCATCGGGCACTGGTTCCTTAGTCGTGGGTTAAATATGCCACCAAAGGCCTGTTTAGAAAACACTTCGAAAAACTAGGGAAACTTTAAAAATGGCAAGTTTTAAAACCCACTTATATATTTCCTATAAACAAAACTTAAAAGTTTAACAAGCTGGCCCAGAACTCACCAAGTGTCGGAGTCCCCAGGAGTCAGGGAAATGGAACTCCACCCCCCGCACCCTCAGCGGAGCCACCGTGGGCCCACGGCCACGAGGGGACCCACAGCCACGAGGGCTGACGCGGGCGGGACCATGCCACGGTTCTTACAGTCGCCACCTGTTCGGGCACTGCTGACCAGCCCCACCGGCACCGGCACCGGCACAGGCCACACCGCGGCTGCACCTCCGCACCCACACGGGAAGCGCCCCGTGGGCCACCTGGGCGACGCCCCGCCTCAGCCATTTCTGCTGAATGGAAAAGGCTTCAGCAGGGGCCCTGTGTAGTCCTGTGGGGGGGCCCTCCTGGAGCCAGAGGCTGTTTGACCCCCCGAGAGCGGCTGGAAGACTGCGTGGGGCAGCGGGGCGCAGCGCCTCCCCAGGAGGCCTGGAGGTGAGGGGCCCGCATCCAGGGCTGGGGGGCCGGGCGGGAAGGCCGAGCGTGCATTCCTGGCCGGAGCCACGGCGCTTGGAACCCAGGCCGGCGGTGCGGGCATCCCTGCGCTCAAAGGCCGTCCGGGAGCCTCCGGGCAACACAAAACCAGAACATAACCTTCTGTTAAACTCTGTATATTATTATTCTTTTCTTTACAATAGAAAGTTAAAAATCAAGGCTTAGATTTACTATACATTTTCCCCCTCTCAGATTACAAAGTTTATATTATATAGCTGGGCTTCCCTAAACCGGGTTCTTTTAAAACAGTCCGAGGGCGACCAGGAGAGTACAAAACACCTACACAAGCCGAGGGACAGGCGAGCTGCAGCGGGGGCGCCTGGCGGTCTCCGCCGTCACGTCACACAGCGCGGCCCGCCGCCGAGCACCGCAGGGACTAGCACCGGGAGCGCTGGGCTCCGCAGGCCCAGAGGCCTGCATCTCTGCTGTTTTTTTTTAATGCATTTCTTTTCTGTTTTTCTTTTCTATTTTTTAAAAAAATGACCAATGGTGTTAATAAATAAAGTATTCATATATACATGAGTGGGACAGCGGTTCTGGAGTGTGCGGCCGCGGCAGCGCTGACGAGGTGGGGACACACATAGGGGGGGCTTTCGTAGAAAATTGCTGAACCTTACAAAAAAGTCTCCTTTTTTTTTAATCTTTTCTTTTTTTTTTTTTTTTTAAGTTGAGGTAAAAGTTTCAGTGTATGAAACCTGCACACGCAGCCTCTGTACCCCCACCCGGGAGCTCCTGGCGTCACAAAGGTCAGAAAACCTCCACAGCCCCTTCCACGCACGCCCCTGGCTGTGTCCCCCCCCCCCCCCCCAAGCTCAGTCGGAGCCACGAGGAACCCCGCCTGGCCCAGCACCACTTCCCAGGCGGGCCAACCGCCCTCGGCCCCTGCAGGAGGCGGCGGCCCTCGGACACCAGGGGGAAGGGACGAAGCCAACAGCTTCCAGACAGAAGGGCCTCGGAGACCCTGCGTGGAGGCGGCTCCCGGGCCAGCGCGGGCCTGGGACAGGGCTTTGCAGGGAGGGACACTCCGACGCATCGCCCTCCTTTTCCTGCGGCCACCAGGTCAGCGCCTGCAGCTGTCATCTCCGAGCCCTCGGGCTCAGTGGCAAAGAAAAGACGTGATGCGGACGCGCACCGTCTCGTCGTCCGGGACCCACGACCTCTGACCTAGGAAAGCGACAAGGGCGGAGGCCGGACTGGGTGACAGAGAGACCTGCACAGCGTGAACGGAAGGAGTATATTGACTGTAGGGGGGGCACTGCGGCGGGCGGCGTGGCGGCGGGCGGCGGCCGCGGGCTGAGTGGCCAGGCCCGGCCGCCTCACTCCGAGTCGCTGCTGTCCGAGCTGGACCCGCTGGAGCTGCTGCTCGCCGACTCCGAGGAGCTGCTGCTGCTGAGCCGGGAGGGCCCTCCGGGGAGCGTGGCGCCCGATTTCTCTGGGGGAGACGCAGCGGGTGAGAGGCTGTTCCCGCGGCCCTGGATCGCCCCCCTCCCCGCCACGTGCTCCACCACGCCGTCACCCATCGGCGTTTGCAGCACATCCAGTTTCACACCCGCTACACACGCCACGACCCACCCACGCCTCGGCCTGGTCACGTGATGAGCGTCTACACGTGTCTGTGGAAGAGGAGGGGGCGCTAATGAGGCTGTGAGTCATGAGACGTCTGTGGGTCTGTCCTGAGACCCCTGACCGCCGGGAGGGTAAGAATGTCTTGTTATTTGTAAGATCCTTTGGTCACCCCAAGTTTATAGTAATGAGTGTCTGGCTGGGGCCCCCGGACTGCCACAGGGTGGGGCTGGTCACCGGGAGGACCAAGCCATGTAGGAGGCGGGAACTCGGAGCCCCAGCCCATGTGGGGGGGGGGGGGGAGCACATGGAGCTGGGAGGGTGGCCGTCCGAGAGGGCCAGGCAGCTCCTGGTCCCCAGCCCCGGCTGTCACCCCTGGGTCACACCCTGTATCACGGCCCTGAGAGGAGGCAACGCGTTCGCCTGAGTTCTGCGAGCCGTGCAGCACGTGACCGCGTGGAGGAGGGGGTCTCGGGCACCCTCGGGTGCAGCCAGCAGGTGGGTCAGCGCTGCGGGAAGCCGGGACCGCACCTGGAGTGCGAGGCGGGCGCCCTTGTGGGCCGAGCCCCGCCCTACGGGCCTGCACTGACTCTGAGGACAGTGTCAGCCTGAACTGAATTCCCGGGTATCCAGGTGGAGACTGGGCAACTGGCTGAGAAAGCCCCACCGTCTGGTGTCGGAAGGGTGGTGAGTGAATATAGCGCAGATGGGGACATCTGTACTACTGTCACGTAGAAGTTACTTAGGAAAAATATGCTGATAAGTAAACAAAAATAAACAAGCACATACAGCTCAGAGGCAATACGACCATCCAACACCCCAGAGGCGGGAAAAATGAACGCAATCTGCGACGAGGAGCCGATGGGGTGGGGGTGGGCTGAGCACCCCCACCTGCCGACACAGAGATGCTGCCCATCAGTCAGGGCGCAGGCAGGCGCAGGAGCACCGCTCTGCCCTCCCCAGGGTGAGCCAAGGGGGTCTCCAGCCCTGAGCGGGGCGGGCGCTGGGCGGCAGCTCACAGCTAGGAAATCGGACCTCGTGACGTGGTGGAGCCACCAAGTCAAGCCGGGTCTGCGGCCACGCCCGCCCGGTACCCCCCTCCCCCCTTCCCGGCCGCCAGCACGCCCGCCGCCCCCGGCCGCTGCCGGCCGGTACCTTTCTTGGTGGGCTTCCTGCTGCTCAGCTGCCCGCTGACGTCCTGCAGCCGCTTCTCCAGCTCCTTCTTCTTTTCCTGAGCTAACTCCTCCTTCGACTTGGCCGCCTGCTTCTTCCCGCTGGTGGCTGTGGGAGAAGCCGAGGCTGAGCCGGTCGGGGTGGGGGTGGGGGAGGGACAGGCAGCCAAGCGCACCCGCCGGCCCACCTCGGTCCCCAGCCGAGCTCGGCCGGGCCAGGGGCTGAGGGCGAGGGGCTGGACCGCGGGGGGGGGGGGGGGGGGGGGGGGCGCGAGGCCAGGCCCCCGACTTACAGAGCGGCTTCCTCTGCTTCTTCTGTAAACAGGACTTGACGTATCGCTCCAGCTCCCGGAGCGTGGTGGGCTTCAGGGTCTCGAAGTCGATCTCGATCTCGTCGGGGTTGGAGTCCCTGAGCGAGGGCTCCCGCGACTGGATGATGTGCACCACGCGGCCCAGCTTCTCCCCCGGCAGCCGGTTGATGTCCAGGCTCAGCTGGCGCTTCTCGTCGTAGCTCATGGGCAGGCCCTCCTCCTCCTCCTCCGAGTCGTAGGAGGCCGACGCCTGCTTGCCGCCCTTCTTCGGCTGTCTGAGGCAGGAGGCAAGGAGCGGTGTGGCGTGGCGCCCGTCCCCTTGGCCCTCCCCTCCCCTCTGTCCGGCTCCGTCCCCTCCTGGCTCTTCCAGAGGCCCCTGCCCAAGGTGAGGCCCAAGCAGAGGAGCCAGGCTGGCTGCCTGAGGCTGCCCCCGGCTGGCTGGGTTCCAGGCCTCACCCAGGAAACAACTAGCCTCAGAGCCCCACAGGCATCTCCAACTCAGCAGGTCAAACACTGACCTCTGCCTACGTCCAAATCCGCCACGAGAAGGCAGCTAAGGGGACGAGGAGTAAGAACAGGGGACAGGCAGGGCATGATGCACGGTGAACCGAGACCCTAGGGCACCAACCGTTACATTAAATATAAACAGTCTAAACACACCAACGAAAAGAAAAGGACGAGCAGGTTGTATAAGAAACAAGACCTGCCCTGGCTGGTGTGGCTCAGTGGATAGAGCGTCAGCCTGCGGACTGAAGGGTCCCAGGTTCGATTCCGGTCAAGGACACATGCCAGGGTTGCGGGCTCGATCCCCAGTAGGTGGCATGCAGGGGACAGCCTATCCATGATACTCTCTCATCATAGATGTTTCTCTCTCTCCCCTTCCCTTTCTGAAATCAATAAAAATATATTTAAAAAAAAAAAAAAAGACCCGACTTACATTTTAAATATAAAGACAGAAGTAGGTTCAAAGTAAAAAGGAGGAGGGGGAAAATCGACCATGCGAACACTGATCAAAGAAAAGCTACAGAAGCGAAGTTAACTTCAGACAAAGGAGACTTCACAAAAAGGAACGTCATTGGAGAAAGAGGGACGCTGCATGATGACAACAGGGCCACCTGGCCACGGGGACGTCGCCGTCCTGCAGGCGTGTGCACCTGACCGCCAAGCTTCCAAATACGGGAAGCAGAATCCAAGAGAAATACAGGAAAGCCACAGCTGGAGCTGGGGGATTAGGCTACTTCCTCTTGGCAATTAACAAATAAGCCAGCGGGAGCAGAGACCAGCCCGTCGACGACCACCTGGGTCAGCCTGACCAGGTTTCTGCCTGTTGGCTGTTGTTTGCTTTTCCCTGACGGCCACTCAGCAGCGGAGAATACACACTTTCTCCTCCAGTGCACACGGACCTTCACCAACGCTGGGCCAGACAACAAGTCTTAACAACTTTGAAAGTGTTCATCACTGACCTTAATGGCATTAAACCAGAAAAATCCCCAAACATTTGGAAAATAAACACACTTCTTAAATTTGTGGGGTAGCATTTAGATGGAAATGAATAGCATTAAATATAAGAAAAGGTCTTGCCCTGGCTGGTTGGCTCAGTGCATAGAGCGTCAGCCTGCAGACTGAAGGGTCCCAGGTTGGATTCCAGTCAAAGGCACATGCCCAGGTTGCAGGCTTGATCCTCAGTGGGGGGCGTGCAGGAGGCAGCCGATCAATGATTCTCTCTCACCATGGATGTTTCTATCTCTCCCTCTCCCTTCCTCTTGAAAGCAATAAAAAAAATACACACGTACATATAGACATATACATACACACACTATGGGCCCCATGCACGAAATTCGTGCACAGCTAGGGTTCCCTAGGCCTGGCTCGCGATCAGGGCCAACCTGTCAGGTGAGCGGTGGGGCAACTGGGGGCCTAATCACTGGCCCCGGCCCCCACCACTGCCAGTTGCCTCCCTCTGTGGGGTGACTGGCAGGGCGATCAGGAACCCCCTGCTGGCACCTGCCTTGGCTGGCCTAGGGCCTGCACGCTGGGGGCAGCTCCTGCATTGAACGTCTGCCCCCTGGTGGTCAGTGCACATCATAGCGACCGGTTGTTCTGCTGTTCAGTCCATTTGCATATTAGGCTTTTATTATATAGGATATATATATATATGGTCTCGTGGTGCTGGTGGTGGAGGAAAGAAAAGGTGGAAGAGGGCATAGGGGGGGATACAAGACAAGGACACCAATGCCCCGCCCTGAGATCTGTGTAACGGCCGAGGCTCTGAGCCACCAGGACTCGCAGCCACGGAGCCATGCTGAGCCCCACACCAACGTTCCTCCCGCCACACACAGCCCCTAAGGCACGAGGCCCGGGCTCCCAGGGCCAGGGCGACGGTGGGCCCACCTGCTGGCCACGGTTGTGCTGTTGGCCTTCTTGGTGGGAGGCTTCTTCTGCTGGGTCTGCTTGGAGGGAGGGGCGGCCTTGGCCTTCTTCTCGTCCTCGGACCTGGCCTTGTGCCGCTCCTTGTCCTTGTCCTTTTTCCTCTTCTCCTTCTCCTTCTTCTCCTTCTTCCTCTTTGGCTTGTTCACGGGGGCCTGAGACAGGGCGGCCAGCTGCTCGTGCACGGCCTTCAGCTGCAAAAGAGCAGGCGCTGAGCGGGCCCCGGGCACACCTGGCCACCTCGCACCGGGGGCCACACAGGCCCAGGAGCCACGGCTCTGCCCCCACTGCCCATGCCAGCGGGCCCGTCGCCGGGCCTGTTTCCTCAGGTAACCTGCGGAAGGCATCTGTTCACAGGCGGCGCAAAGAGCAGCAAGACCAGCCTGGTGATAAAACACGCAGCCTGGGGCAGGGGCACAGTAAGGACTCGGTAAATGGTGGCTGACGGTTTTCTTATTCGTTTTTATTGTTTAGATGAGGCAGACAGAGGCTGAAACAGCTGCACAAAGGCGGTGTTCACAGCAGGTCCAGGGGTGGAAGGGTCCGGTGCCGACGCGTGCAGGCAGCGTGCTAAGCGCTCTGTGCTTCTCATCCCGGCAGCCCCCGGGCACGAGGGGCGGGGAGCAGGCCACGCTCAGCCGTCTTCCCGGCAGTGTCATCTCTGAGGCAGCTCAGGTCAAAGTCAAAGGCCCACCCACTCTGCTCCTCTCCCTGCCAGAACCCCAGATGTCAGGCACCTGCTGGCTGCCTGATGCGGGGAAACAATTCACGTTTTTCTCAGTTCCATTGCCAGAACAGCTCAGGCCGCCAGGAGCATTGGCCCCAACTTGAAAATGAGGAGAGTGAGGCAGGGGGCCCTGAGTCAGAGGCCAGGGCAGGGCAGCCTCATTCCCGCAAGAGCCTGCACCCCGCGTGGCTGCTGCCAGAGCCTTCCCGCCAGGCCTTTCCCGGGCAGCGCGAGGCACCGGGCCCACCACAGCTCCGGAGTACCGCGGGGCCAGGCCGGCAGGCAGGACGCGGGGCCTCAGAGCAGCGCTTCCTGGTTCCTGCCCCCCGGCGCTGCGGGAAAGGACCTCCGGGGCCGCTGGCAGGGCGTGAGGCTCACCTGCTCCTGCAGCTCCGCCAGCCGCGTGGCCCGCTCCTCCTCCGAGTCCGAGCTGGCCGAGTCGGAGGAGCTCTCCTCGCTGCTGCGGCTGCTCTCCGTGCCCTTGCTCACCACCGGGACTGCGGGGGCCGGCAGCGCGGGCGCCTCTGCCGGCTCGTCCGGCATCTTGGCAAACCGCATCTCAAACACGTCCTGCGAGAGAGCAGGGGCTGCCTGAGCCCTGGATGCCCGCCCTCCCACAGCGGTTCCCTCCCACGTGCTGCCCAGGCCGCCGTCACCTCAGAGTGTCCACTGCCGCAGCCCCAAGGCCTCACCCCCCGCGCAGAAACTGGCCAGACCTCCGGTCAGCGAGGCTGCAGGAGCGACACGGGCCCTCTCCCTCCCCCTCGACCGGAATGTCCTGCACGCTGCCCCCACCCGAGTCTGTAGCTCCCGGGAGGCTGAGGGGGCTGTTGGCACCAAGTGCCAGGAAGCAGGTGGCGGCCGGCCAGCACTTGGGCCACCACGTCAATGGACACGGCTCCGGGCCTCCCACTGGACGTCCTGAGACACCGGGGTCTCCCCTAGGGCCCCACCCGGAGCTGCGGACCCCACCTCGCCCAGCGGACCGCACCTCCAGCCCCCAAGAGCGCCCGGGTTACCTGCAGCTTCCTGGCCATGGCCACCACCTCATGGTCGGGCGGGTTGTACTTGTAACAGTTGGAGAACATTAACCGGATGTCGGCCGCAAAGCCCTGTGCGTCCGGGTACTCGCGGCTGTCCATCTTCTTCTGTAACAGACGGCGGCGGGGCGTGAGGGGCACTGCCCAGCGTCCTGGGCGCAGCCAGACGGCCCTGCTCACACATCTACCCCCATGTGAGCCCAGAGAAGCCCCGGGCAGGAAGCCCTGCATGGGAGCTGCGGGCCAGGCTTGGGTTTCAGCTCGGACCCATTTCTGTCTGGTGAGGGCGTGGCCACTGGGAGGGCCTCCTCGCCCCCTCCCCCTGCCCCCGACCCGTTACAGAAACCTGCAGTGCTCCGGGATGGGGGATGGAGGAAAGTGAAGGAAACAGGAAGTGGGGATCAAGGGGCTGGAGGACAGGAAGCTGCAAGCTCAGCGCCGCCGGGCAGAGCACCCTCCCTGCGGGGGCTGCGGGCGGCCCAGGGAGCCGCATGCCCAGCCGAGGCCGCCCCGCCCGGCGCCCGCACCTTCACGGTGCTGAGGTCCATCGGGTGCTTGATGATGTCGTGGTAGTCGTGCAGCTCCAGCGCCTCGGCGTCCACGGGCTTGTAGAAGGGCCAGGCGTAGGCCGCGTGCTTCTTGGACAGCAGCTCCTTGAGGATGCTGTCGCAGTGCCGCAGGTGCTCCGACAGCCGCCCCTTCTTGCCCGCGTGCTGGGGCACCTCGCCGTCCTCCAGGTCCTTCCGGGGCGGCTTGATGGGCCGGCCGCCACTCTCCCGCCGGGCCACCACCTTGGCCTGCTTGGGGTCCGACAGCGGCGGGGGCGACTCGCTCCGGCTGGCGGTGATGGCGGATGTCGTGGGCGTGGTCGTGTCTGCTTTCCGCTTCACGCCCTTTTTCTGTGACAGCAAAACCACCAGTGAGCGCCAGGGCGAAGCCAGCTGAGACTGAGTCGTGGCAGCTGCCCTGGAGCACCGACTCCCGGCCAGGCACCGAGCAAAGCCATGCCGGCTCGGCCGCGTCCATCCTCCCAGCTGCCCCCGCAATGGGGACGGAGGCTCAGGGGGCCGCGTCGCCGGCCCAAGGTCACACAGCTGGCAGTGGTGAGGCTGGACTCGGAACCTTCCCTGAGCTGCCCTCTCCCTTTGCGCCCCAGGCCCCAGCAGCTCAGCACACCTGAGCCATGAGGTGCAGCATGCAATCCACCCGTCCCGACCAGCACCCGGGCCGGCTGCGCCAGGGGCTCCGGGTCAGGTGTGACCGAGAGGCCGCCATCGGGATCCTCACCAAGCAGGACTCAGGCTCAGGGGTGACAGAGACAGAGGGAACGTTCCAACAAGGACCTCAAAACCGACGCCCGCCAGGCCAACTGTCTGGAGCAGGTGAGGGCAAGGCATGCGGGTGGGGGCGGGGACACCAGGGGCTGAGGGTCTGGACTCCACCCTGAAGGCAGTGGGAGCCCTTAGGGCTTCTCCTCTGGGGTGGGGGCGTGATGCTGAAACACCCCGAGCTGGAGTGGGTGTGTCCGGTGAGAGCATGTGTAATGCCAGGGCAACGGGGCCCGCAGGTCTCTCTGGGCACAACAGCAGCCCTGGGGCCTCGAGGCCATGTGCCCGAGCTGGGGTGCGGTGTCCCCGAGACCACTCAGCCGGCTCCTGCGTCTCAGCTCAGGCAGAGGCCACAGGCCATGAGCCACGAGCCACGAGCCACGCGCGCCTGGGCGGATGGCCTCATACAGGCCTGCTGTCTACAGCCACCACGGTCGCTGCCCCAGACGAGCCCGACCCCCGGCTGCCAGGGGCCCGAGCTGGCTCTCCACAAACTCCTGACGGGCACCCAGGGAAGCCAAGCATGTGCGCAGGGGCCCAGGGGGCTGGTCTGGCCATGGCAAACAGGACATGCTCCAACACCAGCCGGGCGGGCAGTGGCGGCCGGGCCAGGAGCCGTCCAGAAGTGCAGGCAATGAAGGCCGGGGGGTCAGGGGGCCACGGAGGAGCATGTTACCTGCGGGGAGCCATTAACCCTCTGAGCGCCTGCTTCCTCATCTGTAAGATGGGGGAACACTGCCTGCCCCAGAGGGTCGCTGCGAGGGTCAAACCGGAGAAGATGACACATGTCAGTGCCTGGCGGCTGCTGGGAGTGAGCAGGACGGCAGCCGCCAGCCCCGACCGGGCGGAGCACCTGCGCCAAGCCCAGACTGGCCTGGCAGTCCCACGTGAAAGGTACCCAGGCGAGGGGAGAGGCGAGCAAGCAGGGAGACAAAGGGGGAGAGGCGAGCGAGCAGGGAGACAAAGGGGGAGAGGCGAGCGAGCAGGGAGACGAAGGGGGAGAGGTGAGCGGGGAGACGAAGGTGCAGGGGCTCACACTAAGGGGCACACGATGCAGGGGGAGGCGATCGCCCTCCCCACGCTGATGGCTGAAAATCCGAGTGTGAGCAGGGCGGGGCAGGATGGGCCGGGACCCTCCCACCCTCCTCTCGCACGCCTTCCCCACCTGGCCCCGTGCACCGCCAAGGCCCGGTGTCAGGGCAGAGAAGCTGGGGTTCGAGTGCAGCCTGCCCTCGCCAGCCATGTGACCTGCAGCCCCCGAGCCTCGGTCGCCTCGTCTGCATCACAGGCCCGGCGAGAAACATCCAGAAGTCACGTGCACCAGACGCCCGACACGCACACGGCCGGTGGCCAGGGACAGTGGCAGAGTCCCCACCTGCCCGCTCCCCCCCCCCCACCCCAGTCCAAATCCGGGAACCCTGAGGAACCCTGGACACTCACCTTGATGACGGGAGGCGTGGGAGGGACCACGGGGATGATGGGTGTCGCCGGAGGCGGTGGGGCAGCAGTTGGGGGGACAGGGACTGAAGTGACGTTTGCGGTGATAGTTGGCACAGGGGTGGCAGCAATGACGGGCGTCTGGGAGACAGTGGGGGGGACGCTCTGAAAGGGGGTCGCCGGGGAGACAGAGGACACGGCCGCCACTTGCTGCGAACCTGAGGACAGGACAGGAGGTTGAGCAGGCCAGGCTCCTGGGCAGGCGGGGCAAACGCTGTCCTTCCAGAAGCTTCCTGGACCGTCCCCTCTGCCGGCCCGATGTCGGAGGAGCCCTGCACCTTGGCCGCCTCCGTGGGTGCTCACCCAACAAGTAAGGGCCTCCCCCTCCGGCCGGGAGAAGCCACGCAGCCCAGCAGGTAAGAGCCAGGCCTGCGCCTGAGAAGTGGGGGTAACCCCGACTCCATCAGGAGCCATCGGAGTGACCCGCATGGAGCTACTAGACCACCCGCAGTCCCCACCTGCAACCCGGCATGGCCAGCAGTGCTGGCGACCCGCCTGGCCTCTCTCGAGGGCTCGGCCACCTCCGGCCGCCTCTCCATCAGGACGCACCTCCCTGCCGGGTTCCGGGACCAGGTGAGACCGTAGGGCTCCCCAACAGGTGGCACAACCCCTCCCGTCAGAGAGAATACAAGGCTAAAGGGGCAACGTCCTCAGGGGGGAAAGGGGGCAGCAGGGACTCCAGAAGAGGAGGCCTCGGAGCCAGGGCCAGGAGGAGCATGGGGACGTAGCAAGACTCCACTCCTCCCAGAGTGCTCCAGGGCAGACGGGCCCCACCAAGGCCCCCGTGTCCCGGACGGGCCGCGGCCACGGCTGAGACCGGGCCCTGGAGTGCAAGTCACCACTGCCCAGACGTCAGACGGGGAGCGGAGCCGAGGAGCCGAGGGGCCGAGGGGCTGAGGGCCCGGCCCTGGGACGGAAGGACCACCCGCACCGTTACCTGCACTCTGGGCTCCTGCAGCCGGTTTCCGGCCTTTGCCCTTCGGAGCAGGGGGTAATAATTCAACTTCCTCCTGGGGCATCTGGGCCACTTTCTGCAGAAAAATTTTCTCTAAGGCTTGGGCCATTAGCACTATGTCATCTGTGGGCTGAAGACACGGGAGAGCCGAGGTTACATGCCGGGAAGGAGCCGCACGCCTGCAGGACACGCTGGCCGAGCTCAGAAACATCTACTTAGAAACGTAAGACGGCGGTCGCCGACCCGTGGTCCGTGCGGTCTGAAAGGCTGGCGACCGCTGTGCTAAGAGGCCCTGGCCGGGCGGCTCAGTGGGTTGGAGCTTCGCTCCCATGCGCCACAATGGCGAGTTCCACCCCAGGTCAAGGCACATGCAAGAACCAACCCATGAATGCCCAAATAACTGGAAAAACAAATCCACGTCTCTCCCTTCCTCTCTGAGACCAGTAAGTAAAACTTGTAACGAAATTGTGGTGGGGCAGGAGGGAGGTAAAGAGAGTAAATTTTAATGTGGAAACTGTTTAAAAAAATTAAGAACCCCCAGCAGGTGTGGCTTAGTGATTGCGCACTGACCTATGAACCAGGAGGTCGCAGTTCAATCCCCAGTAAGGGGTGAGCAGGAGGCAGCCGACCAATGAGTCTCTCTCACTGTTGATGTTTTACCTCTCTCCCCCTCTCCCTTCCTCTCTGAAATCAGTAAAAACGTATTTAAAAAAATAAAGCGCTTGGTCTGTGTCACCTCCTTCTAGAAGGCCTCACCCCCTCCCGCGGGGACGTGGCCCACAGTGCGTGGGGGTTACGTGTGGGGATCGGGGCCCGAGTGTGCAAAGCGCCCGGGCCAGCCCAGGTGCCCCCTGGCTGGTGGGCGGCTCATGGGGCATTCGGGGCCCACGCTGCCCGCGTCTTCTCACCTTGTTATAAATGTAACAATTTGTAAACATGGTGTTGAAGTCCTGCATACACTCGCTTGCACTCCAATAATAATTGTTTTCTAGTCTCTTCTTGATAGTCCCCATGTCCATCGGGTTTTTTATTATTTTATGATAATCCTAGGGGAGAGATTTCAGAGGGTTACTGACGGACTCAACATCATCATCCCGCGATTCCAAGCCTTTGCCACGGGGACGGGGCTGGCCAGGGCCTGGCCCCGAGGGCAGGTGGGCGTGCGGTCTGGGGCGAGCGCTCGGCCGGCTCGGGACCTCTGGCTGACGGGGTTCTACGTGGAGGGAGGGTCTCAGAGAGGCACGGGCTGAGGCACGGAGCTGTCTCGCTGGGGATGGGCCCTAGCCCCGCCCGCATTCCAAACCTCGCTCAAGGGCCCGCAGGTGGGCAGGGCTGGCCGGGCCCAGAACCCAGCTACCAAGTGCTGACCCAGGGCATCCCCTGAAACACAGGGTCCTCTATGTGGGTACAAGGAGGAAAGCCACTGGACGCGGTTCAGCACAGCGCCAACGGGGTCAGCACCTGGGCCGCTCTGAGCAACTGCCCCCGGCGGCTCAGCGGAAAGCACAGAGGGGGGGAGGGGGGGCAGAGCGCACACAGGGGGGCCTTCGCTCCTGGACCCTCCTGTCACCATGAGGCACAGGCTCTCCCTGCACCGGGGGCAGCGCCCTCCCTTCCTCTGTACCCCCAAGTAGCCCCTCTTTCTCCTTGGCCACTAAGGGCTCTGAGCTGTCCCCCGGCTGGAGGCACGGGCCATGCCTGGCCCACCAGCACCAGCCACGTCTCGGGCACCAAGGCCGGGAGCGAAGCAGGTCCTCGAACCGGGGCCAGGCGGGGGCGGGGCGGGAGGACTCACGGGCAGGTTCAGCTTGATGGCGTCCACGGGCTGGTAGAAGGGCCAGGCGAACTGGTGCTTCCACAGCGTCTTCACCACCACGTTCTGCATGTACTGCAGCTGGTTGGTCTTGCGGCCGGGCTTGGCGGGATTGGCGACCTCGGGCGGGGGCGGGTTCACGGGGCCTGTGGCCACCGGCATCCCCGTGGGGGCGGCCGTCGCCGTGGTGGACATCGTCTGGGGGCGTGCTCACTGGCCGTCGCAGCAGCGGCTCAGGGCGGCCCTCGCGTCCTCCCCACGGAGGCGCGACATCCCATTTCCAGGCCCCACCAGGCAGCACCTGGGGGAGAAGGGACAGCAGAGGAAGGCGGTCACCCGGGGCCCTGCCACCTCGCCCAGCCACCACCAGCTCCCCGCACACCGCACCGTCGTGGCAAAGCCCACGGCCCTGGTCACGCCAACCTCACCTGCCACAGAACCACTCAAGGGCCTCAAGCAGGGCACAGAGAGACTCGGTGGCAAAAGGCCAACTGAGTACGCGCCACCTGGGCAGCGCAGGGGTGGGGAGGCGGCTGCCGTCCAGGTGGGGGCCAAGGACCCGGCCCGGCTCACTGCCCGCCACCGGGGCCGACTCCACCGCAGTGGGCCGGGCAATCCTACAGGCCCTAAAGGATTAGGGAGCGATGGATCCACAGGCAGAGCGACGACCCCGCAGAGCCGAGCCTGCCAGGCAGACCCTCGAGCGAGCGAGGTTCCACCGTAACCGCGAGAACGACTGTGGGTTTGTGATGGCGGCCAGGCTGTGACACTCGGTGGAACCCGGAGCTGGTGAGCACCCTGTCGGTAGCCTGCAATGGGCCATGTGGCGTGTCTGCGCCACGACTGCGGGCACGCCAGCTGAGGCTGTCCCCGCGCTGACTGCGAGACACTGGCTGGCACCCTACGCTCTGGCCCTGCCACCCCGAGCGGAAAGGGCTCACCATCCACCAGGCACTTCTCACCCGCACGCCAACCTCCCGACCACCCGGGGAGCCCGGCTCCCCTCCTCCACGGCCTCCCAGAGTGAGTGGTGCCCGCGCTCCTCGACCTCACAGCCCCGGGGCAGCGACCCGGTCTGCAGGGTGGCTCAGTGGGCAGGTCAGCCATCTCGGCTGGTGCCAACGGTGATGAGGCTGCGCCTTCACCACCAGACAGAAAGCCCAAGCCTGGCACGTGCCCGGGTCATCAACACCTCGCTGCCCTGCGCCCAGTGCCAGCAGGTCCAGCAGGTGGGCAAACCCGAACTCGGCCAGAGTGTGACCACTTCCGGTCTCAGCGCCCCCGCCTCCTGCTGGGATCGCCATGAACCTCCAGGGTTCGGCCCTCCTCACTCAGACCCTCTGCATGAAAGCACCGCCCACCTGGCCTGCAGGGCGCACTGTGCCCCGTGGCTCCTCTCCTGTCCTGGCTGCAGGGACGCAATGGCCACACCCTCACCACACCCTCGCCTCCTTCAGGCCCTCTGCTCCAGCGCCACCTCCCGCCAGGGTCTCCCCAAACCTCCCAGAGCCCCAGGCATCCCGGTGCCAACCCCAGCTCTGGGCTCCCAGTGCAGTCAGCCCCAGGTGTCAGATGGGTCCCTAGTCCTGCCACACGGCCCTGGGAGCCAGGGGCCGAGAGTGACATTGGGGACACGGGGCCCGCAGGAGGGTCCAAGGCTGCTGGCCCAGGTGCAGACCGGCCTCCTCCAAGCTCAAGGACAGACGGGCGCGGCTCACTCAGGGACACGCTTGGCCTGGCCCTCAGCCTCCCTCCCTCTTCCCACCACGGCTCCACACCTGCGGCCGAGCAGGAAGCCAACCCCGGCCATGGCCACGGGACGCATCCCCGACCTGGGGGGCGCCCAGGAGCAGCACAGCGGCCGGGCAGGCAGAGGGGCCTCGGGGTGCAGCCACACACCAGCCTGGCCTTGCCTGTCCCCTGGACGCTTCTCTAGACCGGACAGCGACGCCGCAGGTGTGGACAAGAGCAAAGGAGACCCACCGGGAGGCAGGGGGACGGCGGGAACCCGGGCCCTCGGCCCCCACGCCCACAGTGCACGCCGGCGCCCGAGGCTGCCTTCGCTCTTTCTGCTTCATTTCTGAACAAATAGGTTTTCTTCTTAGAACGTATTACCTTCGTGAAGAGAGAAAAGTGGAAGGCCCGGCCGGCGGGGCTCAGCGGTTGAGTGTCGGCCTATGAACCAGGAGGTCAGGGTTCGATACCCGGTCGGGGCACAGGCCCGGGTTGTGGGCTCGATCCCCAGTGTGGGGCGTGCAGGAGGCAGCCGATCCATTTTTCTCTCTCATCGTGGATGGATGTCTCTCCCCCTCCCTTCCTCTCTGAAATCAATGAAGATACTTACAAAAAAAAAAAAAAGTGTGAAGGAATTTCTATTTTGAAAAAAATACTCAAAACACAAACCAACCAGTCCAGCCAGGGTCGGGGCTCCCACGGCGCCTCGGTCAGCAGGCCGGTACCTCGGAGCGGGGTCTCCTCCTCCGAGGGCGGGGGCGCTGCCCGGGCGTGGGGACCGGCCCCACAGCCCCGAGTGCCCCTAAAGGGGAAGCGGAGGGCATGCTCCCCAAGAGGGAGCGCTCGGCACAGCACCGCGTCCCCCTGGGGTCCGGCCGGCCACACCCGCCCCACTGGGCCTGCCCGACAGGTCCCCACAGGGCCCACCTGTCGGCGCAAAGCACGGGCGCGCCACCCCACTGAGCCGTTGTCCCCCGGCCGCCCTCCCTGGGTGGGGGCTCAGGGCCTCCTTCTAAGACCAGGGAGGCCAGTGCGGCTCCCAGGAAGAAATGAGATCAGCACCCCCACCCCCACACCTCCCCAGGGTTCAGCCCCAAACTGAGCCAGTAAAGGACAGAGACGCAGCGACGTGGAGGTCTACCACCACCAAGGCGCCCTGGCGGGTGGCTCAGTGGTTATTAGAGCGTTGGCCCTCGCACGCAAGGGTCTCGGGTTCGATTTCTGGTCAAGGGCACACGCCTAGGCTGCAGATTCACTCCCCGGTGGGGGGCGTGGTGCGGAAGGCAACCGATTGATGTTTCTCTCCTTCTCCCTCTACCTTCCCCCCTCTCTAAAATCGATTTTTTAAAAAATCTAGAAAATTCGACAGCAGCCGCACCGGCCCTCCTGCCACGATGCCAAGCCAGGCGGGGTTGGGGGTGGAGGGGACAAGGCCTGGAAGGTGGGCCGGGGCTGGGCCAAGAGGGCGTTCCCAGGCTGGCCCAGCCCAGAGCCAGGAGCCCTTCCTTGGGCTGGGGCTGGGGCTGGGGCTGGGGCTGGGGCTGGGGGAGGGACAGAAGCGGCTTCACCCAGCCTGGGGACACCCGAGGGCCTGCGGGGAGGGAGAACTGGGGACCGTGCCCAGGAGGGGGAGGCGGAGGTAGGAAGAGAGCCAGGGAGCGAGCACCACCTCAGAGGAGGGCCCGGGGAGGGCGAGGGGCGGGCTGTGCTCACCTGGGCCTCCCCGCCCACCCGCCTGCTCAGATGCACAGGCTCCTGGGCGGGGCTCACTCTCTGTACCCCTGAGGGGGGCTCCCCACTGCATCACTCCAGCCCCGTCTCCCTGTGCCCCCTCCTGGCCCAGCTGGTGGGGGTCACTTGAGCTCCATCTTCCAGGTGGAGGCTCAGAGGTGAAGGGGCAGAGCCAGGCCCTGAACAAGGCAACTCACCCCTGACCGACCCCCATTGCCACCCCCGGGAAGCCTGACCATCCTGCTGGGGCAGGAGCCGAGGCCGGGAGGGCCACTCGGAGTGTGGCCCGGGCTCCCAGACCCCAGGCGCCAGGCCAGCCTCCCAGGCACTCCGACCAGCGGCCACCCTGGAGCCTCGGCCTCAGCCTCGGGAAACAGGATCCGTGAGGGCAGGGCAGCGCCAGTGACAGACGGAGCCAACTGCCTCGTCCGTGGGGCCCGGGGAGGGCAGCCGGGCAGGTGAGGACCCCCCCACCCCCCGCTGGGCCCTGCTGGGCGCCACCTCCCATCCAGGGAGCACGCCATGCCCAGCAGGAAACAGTGCCTGCACGCGGTGCCCGAGGGGCCTCTGCCCACAGCAAGGTGCCCCGACCAGGGTCCCCGCGCCCCTTGGGTTTAGATCACACCTGCCTAGCGGCCCCACGGGCACCCCTGCAGGCCCCTCCCCAAGACCAGGCCACCACTGCCCCCGCGACCCCTCGCGGGGCTCAAAGGGGAATGCCTGCAGGTGAGTGGGGACGGCGTGGCCTGCGCCCACTGCCCGGAGGGAAGAGAGGCCCACCCTCCCTGGCCCAGGCCGTCCGCAGAGCTCCCTAGAGGCCAGGCGGGCCCGGCCCTGTGGGCACCAAGGCTCAGGGCGCCTAAGGCTGCACCGACCCTGGAAAATTCTGGAACAAAGGTACGGCCAGGTGTGCCTGGTGCCGGTGCTGCTGGTCCTGTCAGTCACAGGAAGGGGGCGGGAGCAAGCGTGTGCTGCGCTGAGCCACCAGCACCCGGGCGGCCAGCACCGGACCTGCACCCACCAGGGCCTGAAGGCCACGGCTGCCCGCAATGAGGCCCCTGGCCCCTCACCCTCACCCCCGCCAAGCCTAGCTGTCCCCGCATAGCCCGCCCTGCTCTCCAAACCCGACCCCCAGGGCTGCAGAGGGAGAGGGGCGGACACCTGAGCTTCCAGGGCTCACGCAGACCTGGGGCCAAGGCATCGGCCGCCGGCCACCTGCTCGGGTGGCGTGCACACTGGCGCCCAGGCCCAGCCTCGCCCACAACTGCCACCCAGACAGACACCTTCCCGCTCGCCACCCCGTGCAGGCGTCGGCAACCCCGAGCTGGGGAGAGGCACGGGGCATTCCAGACCTGCCAGAGGAAGGGGTGTCCCACGGGGTTCCGGTCCTCTGCAAGGCATCGTCCTCGGCCCCGGGCAGCGGCCCCGCCCCGACCGACGCCTCTGACCCTCTCATTCCACTGGAGATGAGAAATGCGGCCGAAAAAAGGGCCCCTGCCTGCCCCTCACTCCTGCTGCCTCGCGGGGTCAGCAGCATGACGGGCGCAGTGGGACCCAGGATGGCGCAGCCCTCGGTAAAGCAGGGTCTCTGGTAGGCAACAGCATGGCCTCGCCCCACCCTCCACCCCCACTGACAACCCCACCCAAGGGCTCAGAGGCCAGCACCCCTCCCACCACCGAAGCCACAGCCACCAGGGCTGGGATGCTCACTATAGCCCACGTGCTGGCGTGCGGGCCACGCTGTTCCGCAGGCTTTACTCGCTGTGGCCCCCTCTGCCCTCGGCTGCCTGCATGGGGCGGAGGGGAGTAGGGGGCTCCCGTCATCCCGGGCAACAGTGACACAGTCATGTGAGTCTCCCCCCCTAAGACCTACACGTGGCGGGGTCAACCTGGAGGCAGCTGGGATGACAGGGCAGAGGGGTGCCTGCCTTATCTGGATCCGCAGCCAGCAGAGCCCGGCTCCCCGCCCGGCACTGGGCTGGCACCAGGAGTGCCCGCCAACGTCCTCAGGACAAGACACGCGAGCCCCCACTCTGGCCCCGCCATCACCTCCTAAACATCACCCTGGAAATGCTGCCACGCCGGCCACACGCCCAGCTCCCATGACGTGGGAGAACGCGGACTAAGGGACACCGACATGCCCCTGCCCCAGGGGACACTGCCCGGAGCTGGACAAGCACTTCCCCAAGCACCTCACTGACCTGGCCTGACGACTGTCCCCACACTGCAGGGGCTGTGGCAAGGGGGTAGGGGGCTCCCCCAAAACAGCTCCTGGCCGGCTCTAACTCGAGGCTGGAAAGACCCTAAAAAGGAGGTAAACTGGGCCCTGGCTGGTGTGCTCCGTGGTTAGAGGGCACGTACGATCCTGGGTCAGGGCGGTGCAGGGGGCAACCATGAGATGTGTCTCTCACACTGCTGTCTGTCTGTCTCCCCCTCTACCTTCTCCCCCAAAACCAGTAAGAACATCCTTGGATGAGGATTCACAAAAACAACAAAGGGGAAAAAGGGGGCAGATTAGACCTGGTTCCCGCATACAACAGCTAAAAGCCGGCAGAAGGGGCACACGGCCAGGGCACTGAGCTGAGAGCCGAGGCCGTTTCGTGGTCCCTGCTCTAACCCCCCTGCCTGCGAGGGATCCTGACCCGTGACTCCGCCTTTAGGAGCCCGAGCTTCCCTGCCGGCAGGGGCGCAGGCCCCGGGGCGGGGTGCAGGCGTCCGAGAGCTTCGTGACCACGGGGACACCGAGGCAGCTCCAGGCGCCAGTCCCCACCTGGGCCGTGGCCAGTACCCCTGACCCAGACACCTGCTGACCTCCTGAAGCAGGGGGCAGGCGGGGTGGAGGGCACCCAGGCGGACCGGAGTCACCAGCCCCCACCCCCCAAGCTCCCCGATGGCACAGGTGCAGCCCGCAGGGCCCTGCCCTCCGCCACACGCCACTAGGCTTCCCTTCCAGAAAGGGTGCTGCCAGGTGGCATCACCCGAAGACGCCAGGCACCCGGGCCTGCCCGCGGGTGGAGCGGGGCTCCCGACAGGCCACCCACCACCCAAACCGCTGAACCAAGCGCTAGAACGGCCCCCAAACCAAGACACCTGCAGAGCCGCCTCAGGCAAGTTCCCCGCCTAAGCTGTGTTGGGGCGAGGGGCGGCGGGCACATTATGAAATTCTGGGCAGAAAGCTTTTGGCCAAAAGTAAGGGACGCAGGACACCAAGGCCCACCAGCCATGGACAGGAAGCCAGCCAGGCCGGGTGCTGGGGACCTAGGGAACCTAGGCGGGACCTGTTAGTCATCTCCACTCTGGATCCCCCCCCTTCTCCGTTCCCCGTTCCCCCATTCCCCGAGGGAATGCACGCTCTCCCCCAACAACCAGGAAGTGGCGTGCAGCTCACCACAGTCGGCTGGCAACTCGCCAGCCCATAGGAAGGTAGGAAGCGGGGTGGAAGGTGAGCGGGGTGGTCCCCCCCACACACACACACACTTTCACTTTCCGGCCCGCTGCAGGCTGGCGGAGTGGAAGGCGGGAGTTGTGTTTACAAACCCCTTTATGCAAAGCTCACTTCCCAGGCGCACGTGAGCTGCCTAGAACAGCAATGATTCCAGTTCCCGGAAACAAAGTCGCCACCACCAGGTGCCTACCGTCCACCCCAGGAGCCCCTCCTCCCTGGACCCCGCCGGGGCTGCCTCTAAGCCCCAGGAGCTGTTGGGAGGCGTTTCCAGATGCCCAGGCATGGGGCCCCCAAGTTACCAGAAAGGTCAGAGAAATGCCCCCACCTCCCGTCCAGGCACAGTGCGTGCCCAGTCTCTCCGGATCTGTAACTACCAGCACATCAAGGCCTCAAGGCCGAACTCAGACCTTTATTTGCAAATAAAAGGCCCGAATTCAGAGCTGCAGGGGAGGTCAGGAAGGAGTCCCTAACTCCCCAGGGCTCATGTCCCCCTCCCCCAGCCCCCCCAGGGGCTCAGGCCTTCTCTGGAGTCTCCTTAAAAGCCTTTAAAAGAAGAATTCGCCCAGAAGAATGCCACACCTCGCACAGGCTCCAGGCTCTCCTCCAGCCACTCGGTGGACCCAGGAACAGAGCCCCACTTTTCAGGGAAGAGTAAGGGATAAAGAACCTTCTGCCCGGCCCTCAGTGGGGAGGGGAAAAGGGGGAGCAGGGGAGGGACAGGGCCTGGAGACGGGGGGCCTCTCCAGCCTGGAGTTAGCCCACGGACACACGCACCCCCAACTCTGCAGCCAATATCCCGGTTAACACGGGGACCGGGTGGGGGCACGTTATGAAATTCTGGACAGAAAGCTTCTGGCCAAAAATAAGGGTCGCAGGACACTCAGGGATTGGGCCCAAGGGAGAGAACTCACAAGATAAACCAGGGGACCGCCCAGGGGGTCCCCGTGCAGTGCCCCCACTTTTTATCTTTGCAAAACTACCCCTGGCCCCGAGAAAAAGGTTTCCCAAGGCCTCCCCCCCGGCCCTGCCCCCGCAGGAGCAACTGTGGAGAGGGGATCGCCTTCCCCGAGCGCCCAGCTTTATTCACGAGGAACCACCGGAACATGTGGGCATCGGAGGTCTGGGGCGAGCACTGCTCCCCGATGGGCTTGTAACAGGCCCACCCCGAGGAGGGAAAGCAGCAGCGCCCGCTCCTCCCGCTCCAACTCGCCCTCGCGCGGATTAAGCGCTTTTCAGGCTGATTTCAAAACGGGAACTGCGTCTCCTCCCGGCTCGGCTGCTGCGACCCTGCAAAGGGGCTCCAACTCGGCGCTGGGCCCCTAACTCTGGGAGGGCGCTGCCCTAAGCCACGCCGCCCGCTGGCCTCTAACTCTGGGCGGCCGCGCAGAGCCGGGCTCGGGCCTGGCCTCGCCCCTCGCCCTGGCCGCGTCCACGGCCCCAGCGCGAGCCTCCCGGCGGCGGCGGGGAACCGTGGCGGGCGGGGCGCGCAAAGAAAGTGGCGCCGGAGCGCCCGGCGCGGCCCGGGACGCGCCGCGCACCTTCCCCGCCGCGTCCTCCCCCGTTTCCCCTCCAAAAGATGGCGGGCAGAGGAAAGGGGGGAAAAATCCCTTCCGTGAGGCTGGGCGCACGGGAGGCCGGCTGGCGCGGGTCGTGCCAACTCCAGGCTACGCGCCCCGGCCGCGGCGACGCCCCCGAGCCCAGGACGCGGCGACGCCCCCGAGCCCGGGACGCGGCCAGCCGGGAGGGAGCGGGCGGAGGGCGAGGAGAGGGGGCCCGGGCGGCCGCCGCGCTTTGTTGCATCGTGGCCGCGCACAAAGGCGGCGGCGGCAGAGGCTGGGGCGCCCGGCTCCCCGGACGCGCCGGCGGCCTGCGCCGGGGACTCGGGGCCGCGCTGCCCGGCCCGCCCGGCCCGCTGCCGCCCGCCGCCCCGCGCGCGCAAGGAAGCAAGAGAAAGGCGTACTTGGCCTCGGCGGCTCCGGCGGCCGTCCCCTCCCGGCCCGCGCGGCCGGCTCCTCTTTGGCTCGCCGGCCCCGGCAGCATAATAGACGCGCCAGAGCCGAGCGGGGCTCATGCGCTGCGCCGCGGAGCCTGGCGGGAGTCGTAGTCCGCGGCCGGGACCGCGCCCGGGCTGCCCAGGGGAGGCGGCGGCGCGCGGACTACATGTCCCGGCCCCGCCGGCGCCGCGCCCCACCCCGCGCGCCCCCGCCCGCCACCCGCCCCGCGGACGCGGCCCGGGGGGCGCGCTGGGGCGGGGTGCCCACCCACCCCTCCGACCCCGGCGACGGGGCGGGGACCCCGGGCGGCCCTCCCTCCGGTGCAGGGGACGAGCTCCTCGGGCGAATTTCCTGGTGCCCCCGGGTGGCGTGGAAATGGCGGGAGCGCGGCCATCGCCCGCCTGCCCGCCGCCCAACGCATCCGGGGTCTCCGAGCCCGGGGTTTGGGGTCGCCCTGGAACCCGGCCGCGCACAGCCGGGGCGGCGCGCACCTGCAGAGCGCCCTTGTTTGTAAACAAACCGCGCTGCTAATTAGCCCGGCGGGGGCGCGCACGGGAGGCGGGGCGGGGCGGCGGGCGCGCGCAGGGGCGGCCCCGCGGGGGAGGAGCTGCGCTCGGCCCCGCCCCCATCTGCCCACCTCCTCTCCCTACCCACCCCACCCGTCTTTCGTGCACACAACGCCTGGGGGGTGGGGAGCCCAAGTACCGGAACTGGCGAGGCGTAGGAGATGTTCCCGCCTCTGCCGGGAGGCCTCTCCCTCAGCCTCAGTTTCCCCACCTGCCCAGTGAGGGCACGCATGGAATCTGAGGTCCCTAGCCTGAGATTCCAGGCTCCAAAGATAAAAACAAGGACCCGGGCCCTTTTCCCGTAATTTGAAAAGATCAGCTGGTGGGCACGTTTTCGGATCTTGTTTTAGGTGGCAATTACTCGGCTGCATACATAAGTACATGGTACCCAGCTATAAATTAAGGTAGCTGCATGTTGTGTATATTAGACACCCCCCCGCCCCCATAAAAACGTCAGAAACAACACATCTTCCTCAGCGCTCGCTGGCCCTGCCCACTGCGAGGTGGCATTTCCGAGCGTGGGCGGGACCCATGCCAAGCCCGGGTCACCGGGTGTGTCTGAGGTTGTGCAAGCGCTGCACTGCCCCAACGCACGCGTCTTTACGATGAGCGGTGAGCGCCAGAGACGGGATGGGCACCCACGCCCCCTCTAGCGGGCCGTCTGCCCAGGCTACAGGGGCGGAAGCTGGGCTCTGGGAGGTGAAATGGCTTGCTTTGGGTCACGGAACCAGTATGTGGGAAACTCTGCAGGAGAGGCCCAAACCAAACTGTCCCAGCCTGCCACCGCCCCTGCGGCCCCTGAGGCTGCAGAGTAGGGCCCGGCTGGGGAAGACCTTTGCCTTGTTAGGTTCCAGGGGGAACAGGTCCAGGAAGGTGAGGGTCTGTAGGCTGGTTCCTTAGAACCACCATCCTGGTTGCGTCCCTCTCCAAGCCCTGGTTTGGTACCCCCACTTCTGTTTCATCCCCAAGGCCTCATCCCCATCCTGCCATCTGGGTCTCATTCTCTTGGACGCCCGGGGCCTGGGCATTCTGGCCAACAGGATGGTCCACTTAATCACTTAAAAACACCCCACCTCCTTCCCCCTGAGGCCAAAACAAAGCCTCTCCCCTGGTCTTGACCTTGCAGAGCCGCCCCTGACCAGCCAGGCGGTCGAGGCTGCTGACTGAATGCCCTGGACGCTGGTGACCCTCCTTGGGCCTCCGCTGCCCAGAGGAGTCCCCCCAGGAGCATAGCAGGTACCTGGGCATCCCCGGGGACCTGGCTCTGAAGGGAGGACCCCGGTCCCACCTCTCCCTTTCCCGTGCCCACCGGTCCGGCTTGCCCGCTCAGGTGTGGCCCTCCGTGCGGCTGGAGAAGTCTGGGGAGCGACCTGACAGACACTTACCTCGGGCCTCTTGGCCCAGGGCTCACCCCTCCTTGGGCCCAGTGTGGGGCGCCTCCCTGGGACCCCTTGAGAAGCAGAGCTGCCTTAGGAAGGGGCTTGAATGACTCTGACTGTCCCCACCAACCACTAGTCTCTCCCTTCCCAAGTTCTTGGAGTTTCAACACCGTGAGGTTGGGCCACTTAATCTCCCCAACCCAGTTTCCTCATCTGTCAAGGGGGACAAAAATAGGCCCCGATCCTCCACTGGGGGAGGGGGGGGAAGCTGGTGGGAAAGGTGGGGCCTGGGCCCCATGGTCCCGGCTGCTGCTCTCCCTTGGGCTCTCGCTGACAAGGCCTGCTCACTGGCTTCTCCCCTCCAGAGTGGCAGCTCCGTGAGGGCCGGGCTCTGTATGCGCAGGGCCAGCAGGTCTGGCACCTCGGGGTGCTCAGGAAATATTTGCCGAATGAATGCATGTTCTCTTCTGCCCACCTGCCCCACCTTCCAGCCTCCGTCTGCAAACCTCAGTGCAGCCGGCAAGGCAGCTGCCCTGCTCCCCCCACAGGACCCTGCAGGAGGCCTGAGAGCCATGGCCTTAAAGCTGGCACTTGGCCTTAAACCCATGCTCAGGACAGGGCCTGGGGCCTCAGCTGCCTCCGCACTCCTCATGCAGTCCTCATCCAGCAGGCCCCTGGAGGCCCAGAGCAGGTATGTTACCGTATTTACAGGTTATACATCAGCCTCGGAAAAGTTTAGTTATTGTGAGCCCTTCCCCAGGAGACTGATCAGCTCTCAGAACTAGAGAAAAAAAGGAGTTTCTGCCCCCACCGAGCAAAGTCTAAGCTACCGAGACTCTGGGGGTGGGAGCAGAGGCTTCTAATTATACATCACTTCCTGGTCACGTGCTGGGTGCCGGGCACTGTGGCAGGAGCTGTACATGCACAGTCCCACTGCGTTTCCACACAATTCCCCGAGGGAGGGATTAGGAGACCTACTCACAGAGGACGAGGGAGGCGCATGAGGTGAAACCGCTGGCCCGCCGGAGCCACGGCTTGGACCCAGATAGGGTTTTACGTTTTACCTGCAAAAATACATTCCGGGAGCCTGCGTTTCGGAAGGGGAGCGGAGGAGCGTGCTTGAGGAAGCAGAGGCCCAAGTCTGAGTTCTGAAGTGGTTGTCTTAGAAAGGTGTGGGGGCCCCAGTGAGGGGTGGGGCTTTCCTGCCCCCAAAGTCGGTCATTTGCACGAAAGTGACAGTAAAGTCCTTGAAAGCACAGAGTGGAAGAGTGGGCCGCGCTGCATCAGTGCGGCCGCAGAGGCCAGAAGACAGGTGACAGGCGGCCAGAATCTCCACCTACCGCTCTGTAAAGTGGGGGTAATGAGTACCTGCCTCGGAGGATGGTCGCAGGGGATGAGGTGTGAGTTCTCGGTCATAAGATAGGACATTCGTTCCTTCCTTCACTCCGGACGTAGCGACGGAGGGGGAGGTGCCCTACACTCCTGCCTCCTGGCACGGCAAGGACAACAGCGGGCAAGACGAAGCACCAGCTGCCACGGGGCTGCCACGCTGGGGCTGGGAAGCACAGAGGATCACAAATGAAACACGCAGCAGGAAGCATGCAGCAGAACGCACGCAGCAGAAACGCACGCAGCAGGAAGCACGCAGCAGGAAGCACGCAGCAGGAAGCACGCAGCAGGAAGCATGCAGCAGGAAGCACGCAGCAGAACACACGCAGCAGAACACACGCAGCAGGAAGCACGCAGCAGGAAGCACGCAGCAGGAAGCACGCAGCAGGAAGCATGCAGCAGAACGCACGCAGCAGGAAGCACGCAGCAGAACGCACGCAGCAGGTAGCACGCAGCAGAACGCACGCAGCAGGTAGCATGCAGCAGAACGCACGCAGCAGGAAGCACGCAGCAGAACGCACACAGCAGGTAGCATGCAGCAGAACGCACGCAGCAGGAAGCATGCAGCAGAACGCACACAGAACGCACGCAGCAGGAAGCACGCAGCAGAACGCACGCAGCAGGTAGCATACAGCAGAACGCACGCAGCAGGAAGCATGCAGCAGAACGCACGCAGCAGGTAGCATGCAGCAGAACGCACGCAGCAGGAAGCACGCAGCAGGAAGCACGCAGCAGGTAGCACGCAGCAGAACGCACGCAGCAGGAAGCACGCAGCAGGAAGCACGCAGCAGAACGCACGCAGCAGGAAGCACGCAGCAGGAAGCACGCAGCAGAACGCACGCAGCAGGAAGCACGCAGCAGAACGCACGCAGCAGGAAGCACGCAGCAGGAAGCACGCAGCAGGAAGCACGCAGCAGAACGCACGCAGCAGGAAGCACGCAGCAGAACGCACGCAGCAGGAAGCACGCAGCAGGTAGCATGCAGCAGAACGCACGCAGCAGAACGCACGCAGCAGGAAGCACGCAGCAGGAAGCACGCAGCAGAACGCACGCAGCAGGAAGCACGCAGCAGGTAGCATGCAGCAGAACGCACGCAGCAGAACGCACGCAGCAGGAAGCACGCAGCAGGTAGCATGCAGCAGAACGCACGCAGCAGAACGCAAGCAGCAGGAAGCACGCAGCAGGAAGCATACAGCAGAACGCACGCAGCAGGAAGCATGCAGCAGAACGCACGCAGCAGGTAGCATGCAGCAGAACGCACGCAGCAGGAAGCACGCAGCAGGAAGCACGCAGCAGGTAGCACGCAGCAGAACGCACGCAGCAGGAAGCACGCAGCAGGAAGCACGCAGCAGAACGCACGCAGCAGGAAGCACGCAGCAGGAAGCACGCAGCAGAACGCACGCAGCAGGAAGCACGCAGCAGGAAGCACGCAGCAGAACGCACGCAGCAGGAAGCAAGCAGCAGGAAGCACGCAGCAGGAAGCACGCAGCAGAACGCACGCAGCAGGAAGCACGCAGCAGAACGCACGCAGCAGGAAGCACGCAGCAGGTAGCATGCAGCAGAACGCACGCAGCAGAACGCACGCAGCAGGAAGCACGCAGCAGGAAGCATGCAGCAGAACGCACGCAGCAGGAAGCACGCAGCAGGAAGCACGCAGCAGGAAGCACGCAGCAGGTAGCATGCAGCAGAACGCACGCAGCAGGAAGCATGCAGCAGAACGCACGCAGAACGCACGCAGCAGGAAGCACGCAGCAGGAAGCACGCAGCAGGAAGCATGCAG